CCCGCCTGTGTGGACTCTGACAAAATGTAGATGATTATTGGAAGTACGAAAAGCAGACATTTATTGGAAGTTCAAGACACAACTGCGGTAGCTCACTAGAAAGCGTAAGTGAATTAAAACGGATACTATTGTGATTAAGATAGAGAAAAATAGTTCGGCTTCTCAACTGAATTCTAAACCAATTTAATTGACCTAAGTGGACTTTTGACAAGAAAAGAAGAACAATATAGCGTTTAAGATACATCTATGATCTCTGTAGTGTAAAGTGTACATATGTTTAACTTGTTTCGATATATATATATATATTATTTCAAAAACAAGTGGAATGCATGCTGTTCGTTTATTGTCGAATTTATCGCCAACAAGTCAGAGACATCTACTGCAGAAAAATCATTAGCCCAACATACCCATAAATTTACATTACTATATATAATACTCAAAAGTAGTTTCTGACACTGTATTTACATTACTATATATAATACTCAAAAAGTAGTTTCTGCCACTGTATTTACATTACTATATATAATACTAAAAAGTAGTTTCTGACACTGTATAACATAAGACAAGCCAGGGAGGCCAAAACCAAGTGTGCTATGTTTTTGTTAATAAGCTGTTTCCATAAATCAAGTGAAAAATGCATGTGGACAAACTGACATGACCTTGGAATTTTAGCTTTAAATCGTATATAAAGAGAAGAGGGAATCCTCAATAGCCGCGGCATTTGAAATTCTTTCAGGAAGGATTAGAGTAAATTATGAGACCCCCCCTTTATTAGCTATATTTGTGTGTGCCAGTAAAACCAAGTGTGGGGCGCCGTATACCCGATTTGATTTTATTACTCACCAGGATCTCTACCAGCCTACCCTCAAACTGAAATTCTTTTAGACAGGATTACTGTTAATAAATCTGTGAGACCTTGGGCGTGGTCAAATACGTCAATCGAAAGGGTTTGACCTCCTGAAATTGGATCTCAAGTCAGCCAAGAGATAATGGAGCTATGAACTAAAAGTTTGTACTTGGGGAAAAAAAAACAAACTCAAGAGCCATACTATGAGTCACTATGCAGCGGCTAAAAATAATCAAATAGTTGAAATTTTCCTTGGTCATGAGGAGTAATGAATGCTTTTCTAATCTTTCCCAAAACAAATAGCATACATGCCTGAAAAAGAAAAAAAAAACATGGAAGTATGCCGACTTAACATTTATATATAGATAAATCTAAGTTTTATTAAAACTTGTACTGAATCAAATATTACATTTTAATTCCCGTTCTTGAAATAACTTTCGTATCTGAACAAGATATCCTGAAAAAAAATAGGAACTACAAGTTCTTTTTAAGAGAACGCAAAGCCAAGCCTTAATCGTATCAGGTCATCCGAATCTTTCATCAGTTTTATAAACAATGCTTTTTTGGAAATAATTTTTGGTCTTGGTAACCGAGTCGTTTTCGCTCAGTCAATAGTCGGAGAATCGATCGTTCTTGAGAAATGTCATTTCAACCTAGAATAAACGCTGCAAATGAAAACCGATAACTTGGGGGAATATAAATAAACTGATAAAAACTAAAAGTAATAAATATCATTAGAGTTAGAAGCCTTTGTAGTGAAAAGCAACAAGGGTCCTGAATTAATACAGACCTGGGAAGCTTTCTACTAAAGATGAACAAAGGAAAACACTTTCAACCAAATACAGATAGGTATTCAAATAAAAACACACCACATTTACGAAATTATAAGTTATGTGCTATCTAGTAATTTATCACTATCTGACCAATCTGTTTTAGACAGACGTGATTGATGTATACTAGTTGGGCTAAAGGATCCATAGTTCATGAGATGATTTTGAGAAGCACGTTCCGCATCTCAGCCGAGGGTGCATTATAAAAGTGACAGTCAATCTTGTTTTTAGTCTCAAATATCTGGACAACATCTTTGAGGTAGCAGGTGGTACTGGTTAAACTGCCTTCCCGCTGATCAGTAGTTGAAAGTTAGTGACAGTAACGATTGAATCCTACTGATCTTTCACCCGACTGTTTACCCCACGTGTGTATAAGTTGAACATTCTAACCTGTCTTCTTACACGACACTTATCTATTGTTACGTCTCTGGTCGTTAGTCAATTTCCCGTATAATTTATTTCCGATG